ACACAATTCGTTTCTTGTTTTTTCTGTACATTTATTTTTTTTTATACATAAAGAAGAGTTATCAGTCTCTCTCTTTTAATTTAAAACTAAGTTTCACAAAATTCAAAAATGTTGGGATTTCTGAATTAGATATTGTTACCCAATACCATTGTCCGATTATGATACAATTTGTATATTCCATTGGCACAATTTGTTTATTATTATATGTAAAATATACAAAACAATAAGTGGTATCTTAAAAAAACGCAGTCTGATAACGTTTTCTACAATAACTCGATTTTAGTGGTCGGAAGACCACAGAAGAGAAAGCGGTATCGGTAAATACCTGAAGGTGCCACAAATTTGTCTTATCCCGATAAGGTCATTCTTTGTTGCATTGTCAGCGTAGACTGCACAATCTACGCCGTACACTCCGTGACAAAAAGGTAACACACTTTAAGAATAAGTAATTTTTGTTTATTTAATATTACAATGAAGGTCTTGTTTTTGTACAAACTTGCAAAATACCACTATAAACATACACGGATGAAATAGAATCAAATTCCGTCAGACCAAACAATTTTATTTGAAGAAAAATTTTTTATGGGAACATAGTGCAACAAAATGATAGCACATTTAACTAAAAATTCTACATAGCAATAAATCAACGAATGATATTTAATGCTTGATATTTTATGGCACTTCCTTTACATTTATTAACAAATCTTTGGCAAAGATTTATAGAGTGCTTTTATTTTATACATGCTTTTTTTTTTTTCTTTTTTTGATTTGGCAATGTTTGAAATTGCCAATCCAAAATACGATTTTTTCTCGAGAAAAGAACTCTTTTACTAAAGGTGTAAAAATACAAGGTGTCTCTGAAAGTATGTACAAGCGACCTGTAGGTGATTCCTTATAAAAAAAAACATGAAGATTTGTTGTGGAGTGTGAGTAGATGAACGTTTTTTATTTATAACGCTTTACATATTATTCAGTAAATAAAATCATTTTTACATGTACTGTACGCTTTATCTGACAGGTATGTTCGAATGAAAAGGGATGACATTTATTTTTGCTAATAATCTATTAACTTTCGTAAATAATTTATTAATGAATATACAAGATTTACTATACTTTTATTTATGTTTTCTATGTTTTATCATAGATGAGTACACAATATATATATGACATTTGTTTGTAATTGATAAAATTCCATTTTCGAGCGTATTAGTAGGGCTAAGTCCAAATCAAAGAAAGGAAAATTCGAGGGAAATCTTGCTTTGCAGCTAGCATGATAAGAAAACACGGTACTTGGTCTACTTCGATACTTCAACTCATCTGTGATATTTGATTTTAACTCTACTTATTAGCTATTTATTGATGTTAGAAATATACATATGTATGTGCTGATAAGATAGCAGGCGAAGATTTTACGGGACAAGGGAAACAAATGATGACCCAGTTTTTCACGCTTTGTCTAGAACCTAGGGTCTTGCTTATTGAAATATGTAGTCGCAAGATTTTTGCGCTAATCTGTATTATCGACTGCTTCCGTAGCTATGGTTCTGGATCAACGTCTACGCTTATGAATTATCGATCGATGCGTTCTATCCCACTTAGTCATACGCACCGTATTCACTCTCTTTGTTGTACGATTATTACTGTAGATGTGACTGTCTAGGCCAATAGTAGGGTAATACTGACAATACGTGTGAGGCGAGGTGGAGCTACGCGTTACAACCAATCGTACCCGCATTCTTTAGGCTCGCCATCTCCTCAGCTCTGCATGTATCCACATAAACATTGAGTTCTGTTTTTGGAAGTGGGTGATATTTCATAGAAGCTTCATTTGGCATGTCGATTGATCATCACAGTGGCAAAGGTTATGCGCCTTTGCCACAAAGCATAAGCAACACTGATACAGAGGATGAAGATTGTTTGCCACAACAAAACGAAACTCCTAAAGAACATACAGATGATGCTTTAGCGGTAAGATGAAATTCAAAAAGATGCTTTCAATCTATTATATTCGATAAGATGAATAACGTTTAAAGCATACTAAGTTGATGATTCCAAAAAGATGTGAAAAGTATTATATGAACAACCACACATAATATACACTTCCATGGAAAGAGCATTGATCATCAACAATATATTTATTTTAAGCATAATTCGAATGGGAAACGAATATTGAGTTGTATAAATAATAAATGACTACAGTACATTTTTAAACGCATATTCATATTTCTCAAATGCAACAGTATTTCGATAGAACTTAGTATTCTGTTGTCTTGTGGCATAATAATAAAGCTGTTTCAAGATAATATTTATTACTTCCTTTGTTCTATATTATCTGGAAGACTTTCTAATTATCAGTCATTAAGATAAAAGTTGTAACATTAGAGCAAGGCAATTAAATACTAATCAATGAAATTATATCCTGCAGTGCTTATTATAGAACACATGTAAAAAAGTTATACTTTATTTATATTATGTTCGTGCGATAGAAAGTACATTTACTTTCCATGAAGAATGTAGAAAGTATGTTATGAACTTTTTAAATTACAGGAATCAACAATAGTTCATGAAAATGGAATATATTATCCTTTGGATGAAACAAAAAATGCAACGAATCGGATGAAAAATGGACAGAATATGCTTAAATATTACAGAGACGACATACCAATAATGGTAATTGAGGGGAATGATCAAAATGATTTATGGAAACCACGTGACATGTCTCCCCTTCGCCGATTCTGTTTGGTTATATCTATATTACTTTGTATTATAACAATAGTTGTATTTTTATATGTTTTACCTTGTGACAATTCAATGGTTTGTGCCACAATTTCTGAACCTAAATCATCAATATCATGGCATAGAACTTTACATGAATTAGGTATGTATGATAGAATATGTTATTTTATATTTTTATTTAAGAATACTTCTTTTACTTTAATTGTTTATGTTTTCAGAATTATATGGCCCTATCTCTATCATTCAAGATAAACCGTCTAATCTCATATTCTTTGTTCGTGGTCAAAAATACAAAGGAAATGACACAACTGAAGATCCGGGACAAATATCGGCAGGGGGAGGAATAATATCATTGCAAGAAAATAGTGGTTCACCATTATGGTTAGTTTCATTGAAAAGATCACCTACTGAAATAGATTGTATTACGGTTGATACCGATAAGTCTGGAAAACCAGATTGCATAGTTGCTGGTGATCAAGGCCTCTTAGCTAGTATCGAGCCTATTGCAGGCATTATACAATGGAGTTCAAAAATTCATACATATGAAAAGTTACCCCTAATTTTGCCAGATATTGATTCAGATGGAGTTGCGGATTTTTTAACTATAGAGGTAGCAATAAAAAATATGCCTAATCTTGTCCTTTTATCTGGAAAGACTGGTAATCTTTTAGGAAGATATTCAACTGAGAACTGTTCGTTAGTTCTATTAATGAATTCTATTTCCAATGATACTATATCTTATGTTTGTAATGAAAATAACAGAAAAGGTAAGATATAACTTATGTTTTAAATGTTGATACTGTGTGATATGCTTCTATATGGATTTGTTTTATTTTCTTTGCAGATATTGTGAAAACAATGACACTTCCTGGATTACTTCATGCTATGAAATTACCAGAGTTATATAAGCAATCTGTAGCAAAATCATCAGCTCCGTTTCGTATGTTTCAAACATTAATGCATCACGATCAGGAACATAATTGGAAGCCTACATCGTATCATAATTTAATTATAGAAAATGAAGGTTCGTGTCCTGGAGAACTTTGCAAAGCTAGTATAAAGTTAACGTTAACTGGTAGCCAACCAATAACTATATGGGATCATGTTAGTCCAAATTCTTTTGTATCGAAACCAGCTTTCCTAGTTACATCTGGGGGTCCTTACAGTTTTGGATTTGCTATCAAGTTTTGGCAATGGCTTGACTCCATAACTGAACACACGAAAACAGTATCTACTATTACAGAAAAAAGATTAATAGAAAGTGTCTTAGTAGTATTTGTTAACTACACTGATATTCAGGTTATGAATGCAAGTCAAAGTGATGTCATCCAGTTGTGTGAAGGAGCAGATTGTCAACCAAATTTGAATTTGCGTGCTCGTTTTAGTTCACTTAAAATCGATTATACAAGCGAAGACGGATTCCCAGAATTAATAACTTATTGGTCTTCGTATAATGTAGAGTCACAAAAGGAGCTTTACTTGACGTCTAACGTTCAAGTTGTAAAGTTAGATTCCATCGTGACTAGTCTGCCACGTATAAGTGTTTAATGATTTTTATGTTTACTTAGTAGCTGTACTTGTTTCTAAATACATTACTCCAGCTTCACCACCCAAAAGCAAGCATAATAAACAGCAACGAAACGGATACATATGTCCGCGAATATATTTAAGTGAATTTATTGTTGAAGGTGACTGGTCATGATTCTCTTAGAGCTAGTCAACACATTTAAGAGTAACAGAACAATGATTTTTGCAGTTGCCTAATTTATTATAAAATCATCTTTCAAACAATAATTTTCGTACTAAGCGGCCATTGTTATCGTCTACATATTTTAAATGAACTCTCAATGGTGCCTTGCAAAAGTTATATAGAAAAATTATGAGTATATGCAAAATCTAAATTTGCAAAACTACTTACATGTTATTAGAGAACATACTACATGAACGTTTAACAAAGTGCTGAAAGAGATAGCAAAGTTCCTTTTCTAATATTACTTAACAGTGTGTGTGAGACTTTTTTTATGTAAATTCATTATTCATCTCGAATGAATCGTTTCCTACAAGGAATAGAGCTTATTGCACACTAATGCTAGTGCAGCCTAATAGAAATTCAATAGCGAATAAAAATCTAATTCTAGTCAAATTTGTATTATTCTATTCGTTTTATTTGAAAATTATGTATTTATGCATTATTGTAAATTAATTATTCATCATTCCAAAGTGTAGCGTTTTTTCCGATTTTTTGCCTGTGAGTGATTTTGTTTCTAAATGAAAGTATACCAACCTTAAAATAAACGGTACTAATTGTATATGACTCTATAGATTGTATTTTCTTAAATACATTAAATTTTGTTGATTGTTCAAATGTATACTTCTTTCTTGAAATAAAAGAATTTGAATGAAAATAGCCGCGAGCATTGTAAACTTCTCCCAAATCTCAATACATAAAAATGTTTGGTAGGTAGCATATAGAATAAATTATGCAAAATCTTGACATAGAAGTCAATAAAATAATTTAAGATATTCAAACGAAACATTAGATATAAGGAGCAACATGAAATTCTGAATTAATTTCTACCCAGAGGTGGTGGGGATGGTTGATCATGGATGACAGAGCAAATCAGTGTGGGTCAGATTTGTATGTACTACACACAGTGTATTGAGTAGTACTATTTTAAGTAACGAGTGTTCAATACAGAGTGTAACTCTACTGATAATTTCTATCAACTGATCTATAATAATCGATACATCAGAGTTGTTAACTGTATGTGAACAGAATAATAAAAGCGGCTGAAATCTAACCTCGACTCGTATTAGAGAAAATAGTTTGACATGCGCCTACGTAACGTGTGTTGGATATACGAATAACGCATGTACATGTAATAACCTGTACTGGATTGGTTATATTGTTACACGATGGCTACTGGGAAGCGAAGAAATGTGCATACTACGCTTGGCAATACCACAATGTTTGGTTCAACAGCAAGCAATCTAAGGTCGAGCCGTTTGAACTTCCGTCCAAACTCATCTCAGGAGGACAGAGGTGGAACTCGACCGACCGCTGCTCCGAGTTCTATAGGTCTAATTCTCGTAACAATGTTTTTACATGTTTGCAAGAAATCATTACTATTCGACCCAAGACTCAAGGTTGCTATATATTGTGGTGCGATATTCATAGTATCGATCATAGCGGACTTTATTACAATGCCAAGAACATATTTCTCACGTTCAGATAACATGCTGAACCAATATTTCGTGAAGTGGGGATGGGGGTGGCTGCTGACCGTAACCGTTCCATGGGTTGTGTTGACTGCGCATACACTCGGCTGCGGTCGTCGGTCTATTTTATTAAAACACCTTGCCAGATTAGGCCTGGCAACGATCGCATGGTTATTATGGATCAAATTGTTTAATTATATCGAGACGAATTACGGTCGATGTCTTAATACGAGAGACGTACTATTGCAAACAAAAGCAAAGTGCCTTCAGTCCGGCAAATTCTGGAGTGGTCTCGACATATCCGGACACACGTTCATCCTGATATATTCAAGTTTAATTCTAGCAGAAGAGGGCTCCTCATTAGTTGGATGGGAGGGTATAAAAGATTTAATTATGCGAGAAGAGCATTCACGAACTACTCCGAATGATCCCAGTACCGGACCGCTTCGGAATTTGTCGAATTCGGATTTAGAGTTCTTAAAGAAGGCGCACAAAGCGCTCACCCCCTATCTCAGGGGTCTGTTCGTCGCGATGACGCTGCAACAATTACTATGGGACATTATGTTGATATCTACAATGCTATATTATCATATTATGATTGAAAAATTCATTGGTGGTGTGGCCGCCGTTTTAACGTGGTACGTCACGTATCAGTGGTGGTATAAAATGCCGAAAAATACGTTACCTCCACCTGGTGAGGGTTTATTTAAATATAATGAGGTGAAGATTCATGATAACAACACTACTATTAGATCGAGGCGCAGCACTTTAAATGGTACAAACAGATTTATGGGACTTCCAATTCGCACGAATCAAGATAACACTGATGCAAATGGTGTCAATAGACCATTAGAAACTGACGCAACTAGCTCTAGATTATAAAAATAATGAAATACCCCTAACTTCTTTTTTTTATTGGTTGGATTGGTCGAAGTTGTCGGTGTTTTAGGTAACTTTCTTATAATTACATTTCTCAATACAATTTTCCTGAATTGTATAATAGTCTTATTTATTAGTTGTACGATGTATCAACGGGAAAAGTTTACTAAACCAAACTTAGGAAGTGATTTTATATTACTTGGGGAAGGGGTTTACTCAACTGTTGGGGTATTTGCCAATTTTGAATACGTATTTGAAATCATCAACGCATTTTTGGTGATATTTTATGTAAATAAAAGAAATGACTACTTTTGCGATAGAAATTTGAATTAAATTACGTAAGTATCTGAAACAATTGTCATTTATCTTGGATAGGCTATACAATATACTGAAACAAAGTACGTATTTCTTTTCTACCTCTGTATGGATTGTTCAACCAATCACACTATATCTACATAATACAATCATTGTTATGGATATACCTTTTCTGACCTTGTTTTGTAATTTGTATTTAATAAACTTTATTGTTAACAAAGTGATTCTCCCATTAGTAGATAAGGGGTTTGCAGTACGAATTTAATATAATCTGTCATCGAAAGTACAAAATACATTGTCACATCCGTTGTGTGTGTGTGTTTTCATTTTCACATATTTATCAGGTGTTATGTATTTTACTACTGTTGCATGTAGAATTTAATTCACTAGCCTATAAAAAGTTGTATAAAAGAATACATTTTTCTTAATAGTTTTTCGCATCGCTACGTTCGTCCAACAAATTTTATATTTTTTTTGTGTAATTACTATTTTAAGAATAGTACAAAATTTGATAGTAGTTACATACTTGGATAGTTTCTGGTGACAGTATTATACGACTTCACCCTTTTGTGTGCAATAAACATAACATAAAAAGCAGCAATATAAGATAATGCACATTACAGAGTGCATTTATATTTTGTTATATTGAATTCATGTTTCTTCCTTAATTTAAACTGTCCTATTATCCGATGATTATCTACTTTTATTAACGATCATTCTAATTAATACCTAATATTGAATGCAATTATTTTTTATGGATGATGTTTTTTTTTCTAAATGATAACCTAAGAAATATATACTTAATCGGTTAACAAAATAAAAAAAAAGAAGAAATTATAGATGATTTGTACAGGCGCGACATCTTATTGTCGTTTAATATCACCAAACTTGCTTGCATATCGTGCTTAGAAATGTTAGATCCGTGACAATCATATGCGTTTTACATACTTTAACCAAATCTTTGTCATTTATACATAAATAAATTACATGTTTATTTTTCGTTTTCGTGCGTTTGGCATTTCTTTCCATGACATAGTCCAGCAATTTATTTACTTTTTCATCTTTACAAATCCCTATACTCAATCGATTCTTAAAAAAAATTTCAATATGTTCAAGATTCTTACATATACTATATATATGTAATATTTTATACGTGAAAAGACGCACGTGGTTTTCTAAGATCCAACAATGAAGAAACTGTACAGTAATGACATGTTCATTCAATATTGTGTGTCTGTTTACATATTATACCAAGAGAGGAAAGATAAAATCTTGATTTCGCGGTTAGAGAACAATCTGCTTAGTTAATTCTGTTCTGACATCACACGTTACGTTACAGCAGCTAATTACACGATACATCTAATATCGAAATATTTATGCAAGTAGAGGTACATATTTACCTTTAAGGCGTTAGACTGTGTTATTAAACTTTTGATCTTTTACGAGCGATAGCGTCTTCCACCGCTTTAAGCTGTTTCAACAGTTCTTCTCGCCTCGAACTCGCTTTTTTAGCTGCTTTCGCTGCAGCTGCGGCAACACTTGCTTTGCTATCGATTAGAGGCGGTGATTCTAACGGCCTTTTCTTCCCAGCCATCATACCAGATCGATCGATCTTCTTTACAGCCGTGGCATTATTGGTTGGTTTCAGTGTGAGCTTGATCTGTTGTTTAGTACCACTTAGCTTTAGGGCATCGATACCCTTTGAGTCTTTTCGTGCTATTGGTGGTGTTGACCCTTTCCTGCGACGTGTCTCGCTGGAAGAAGACGAGTAACTTGATTCGCTGGAGTCACTGCTGCTGCCACTGCTCTCCGATCCGGAACTGCTATGTGAAGACCTGAAAAATATTTTTATTAAAGTATCATATTACAAAATACCAACGCGTTTGTTAATGGTTCAACCAACATAAATAGCAAAGTTATTTAAAATGTTTACCTGGATCTTGATCGACTTTTGATAACTTTTGCCACAGCAGCTGCTGCTATAGCTGCTTTGTCTCTTGCTTTCTCATGATGACGTTGATGAGACGATAGAGGGCTTGGTGCAGGAGGATTCAACCCGGCACGTCGGTGCAACGTACCGGTTGTAGGTGAAATGGAACCTTTCGGTGGACGTGGAGAAGGAGCAGGTGGGTTCATTAGCATGGCACCGCGTTGGGGCGCAGCAGCTGCGACTGTCGGAGGATTTGAGGGTGGCGATGACACGACTGCTTTTCCTTTGCCAGCACCACGGGTTCTAGAGGGAGGGGATGGTGAACGGGACCTGGATAGGGAGTCGTAAGAACTGTAGCTAGATCGGCTCGAGCTACGGCTAGAACTAAAAAGAGCATACACGATACTTGTACGTTGTTACATGGAAAAAATATTGAACAAATTTCAGCCAGACGCTTATCTTTATAAGAGAAACTAAAAGATTTAATCTTATAGGCTCTACGATAATTCTAACAGGCTTGAACATTACTCAAATAACATATTTGAAAAATGAAAATTTGTATAACAGTTACTTTATTTGGCTAGATATTGTTTTGAAGTAACTATGCATTAATTTATTTATACTTCAACTTCAAATGATATGTGTCCAAGTCTGTACTCTAATTAGGTCCTTAACACGACTGGTAATCATACGAAAATTCAATCATTGTACATCAGGCGATAATAGTTACGAATTCGTATTTGTTTTATGCATCAACGTTACAGTTTTTACGTAATCGTTATAGTTCTAACTACAACACGATTCGCTGTGAGACTAGAAAATACTACTACCAATAAAAAATGTTTTACTGCTAAGAGGCGTTATACAAATGGCCAATATCGATTTTTATACGAGGTTGATTCAGCATATGTAGAACTAAAACAAGTATTCAATTCAAGTCAAAATACAAATGTACCATTAATGTTTTTCAATATTGAATTTGAAAAACATAAATTTACCTCAACTTTAAGGATTATTTGCACTATTGAATCAAGTTCTATATTATGTACAAGGTTCATTAAAATTACAGAAGTCACTTGGATAACACCTATTATAAGAAAAATGAAGTAATAACTATTCTAATATGATGTTTACCTTGTTGACGAATACGAAGAACCTGAAGAGTAAGATTGCCTTCGCGAACGCCGAGACGACGTATTCCGTCGCACAGTACTTGGAGATTTCCGCCGCATCCAAGGATCCGCCCATTCATCTCCTCTGCCTCTTTCCACTGGCGGTGGTTCTTCCTCCCGCCATGGTTTCGTTGGTGGAATACGTTCCACTATAACTTCTCTTGACGGACGCTTGTGCTTTTTCTCATATTTCTCATAATACTCTCGTTCTCTGTCACGTTCACGTTCCCTTTCCCTTTCACGATCTCTTGTATGTGGCGGTGGAGAAACGGAATGAGGTGTACCACGAGGTACAGTATGATAGTCGATTCGTTCTCGGTATTCCGTAACACGAGAATCTGCTTTGTAATGTACTCTTCTGTAAAAGTTAATACATTCATTTTTTAAAGAGCCAATGAGAAAGAACTATACATCAGGTATATTAAAATCATTTCACAGTTAACAAGAACATTACCTATAATACTCTGGCGGTGGTGCTGCTGGTGGTGCGTAGTAAGGATCAGGTTCTTCGATGTATCTCTCAGGTGTAATTCTTGGTTGTGGTATTCTTCGAGGAGCCTCTCGAGGTGGCCACCTTTCGACAGGTGGTTCTGGGCTAGCTGCTCTTACATAGTAACCCGCTTCTCTATCTAATTCATCTTGACCTAAGCTTAAATTCATCTTCTTCTCTTCGAAGTCCATATCCGATTCTTTACGCTTGTTTGCTTTGCGCATCATCTACAAAAAGAATAAACATTAATAAAGATAATTTATTTTCGAATATATTTGCTCTTAGTCTGTGTACAATAACTTTGCGATAATTAAAACTGACTTCTTTAGCGTGTCGTAATCCACGTTCCCACGCAGATTCAGTAGGTAATTCCTCTACTTTAGGTGTATGCGATGGTGCACCATAACCAGGCAACGGTCGCACCATGTTTGGTCTATCGATATGCGGCCTGAACTCATGCTGAGTGGCTGCATGCGGTGGATATGCCATTGGCCTTACCATATCAAACATTGTATAATTACCCTTGTCTGTTACACCTGGATGTAAAAATCTACAACTCACACCCCACGTGCATTGACCGCGGTTGTAAAAACGACAAACAGGCCTTGGTTCTGTTTCTTCTGGTCGAGCATCATCCCCATCGCTTAGTTCACCTTCCTCTAATTCTGATTCTGCTTTCTCCCCATCTTCTTCTCCTTCTTCTTTGTCATTTCCTTCACCACTATCTTTCAACTTAATTTTATCTTTATCCTTATCCTTTCTATCTCTGTCATCTTTGTGTTCTTTAACATTTGGTCCGTCTGTTTCACCTAAAAGTAAGAAATAAAAAAAGTACAAAATTTATTCTTTCTCGAACATTTTTGTAATTATAAGTATATACCTTCATCACGTTCATCTTTCCATTGACCATCTGCTTCAAAGTCTAACTGTTCACTTTCCTCTGTTAATCCAACCTGTGCATTTTTATCTTCTTTCTCCATTTTGTCATCGTTATCTCCTATACGTCTATCCTCGTTCTGATTATTTTCTTTAAGTTCTGATTCATGCTCTACGGTACCATCGACTCCATCCATACTTTCAAGATCAGAAACATCTGACAAATCTTCACCGTGTGTAATTGGTGCAGGTTTTGACTTAGCAATAGATTCGGGTTCGTCTTCGATATCTCCGTCTGAAATTTGTTCTCCATCTAATTCATTAAATGAACCACTTTTCGTGGGTGGTGAATGCTTCTCTGATTCTTGATCATCCATTGTAGAAGCTGGACCTGACTTTGGAGAACTTCTTCCAGAAATTAATGATTTTGCTGAACTATGTCCAGACCTTGGTGATTTTGGCGAGCTTTGTCTTGATTCACTATTTTTATAAGAATAAGATTTAGGTGAATTATCAACAGACCTTTGTGCATCAACCTCTAGCTCAAATTGCTTAGGTTCTGTGTCTTCTAAATGTAAAGACTTTGAATCATTAGGAGTAGATGGGCACGATCTCTCATCTGGTATAGGTGAACAAGACAAACTTCTATCACTTCTAGGTGAATCTAAAGAATTATTTCTCGAACGATACGATTTTGGTGTATTAGGTGGTGACTTTGATAAACTCCTCATGGATCTTGGAGAACCTTCTTCACTAGGAGATGCTAACCCAGATCTCTGAGACTTTGGAGATATTGGTATATATGCTGGTGAATTTGATGTATATGCTGGTGATTGTGAATCCCTTTCAGACATAAGAGATGCTGGAGATTTTCCTCTTGAAGAAATAGAACTTGCTCTAGATTTATGACCCGATACAGATGAATGATGAGAGTAGCATGGTGAAGCCACATTATCAGTAGACGCAACTGCATTTCTTCTCCCATCGTAACCCTCTGAGGAGGAACTTTCTGAACCAGAGTCTGACATGATGAATTATTCTAGCCTGTAAACAAGTGATACTTTTACAGTATTTGTATAAAAATTTAATGCAAGGCTGGGGCCACTGTTCAAACAAGTTATTAATCGCTCTTACTTGAGAGAAGTGAACTTTTTAGCCGTACCGACCGAATGTAGCACTGTAAAATCTGCATCAGTAGCAGCGCATGGCTTACCTGTATCAATAAGAGCCTGTGCAGTACTCGCTCTTGAAGGCACAACGCGCGCGCTCCATATCATGTCGAACATACTTTTTATATCACGTCGATAACTTCTTTATACTAGCAACTTTTATACTTTATACTTAAACTGAACTTTTTGCACATATACAATACATACTGTTATTTTTCAGGATTTCTTGCCCGGAACTTTTTTGTTTACGTTTTAAACTTTTCAACTCGAGCACAACACAAACTAATAAATACCGGTAAACCGCAAACCGTTTTTATATTGCACTAGAAACTATAGCGAACAGACTTTCAACCTGTAAGAATATCGTTTGGGCATATGGAACGATAAAGAAAAAGGAAGAGAGGGAAAATTTAGGAAATGATAAATCAAAGTATTGTTTTTACCAACAGATGCAAAAAAATACTATGTAATACTAATCTGAATTAGCATATTTTCATAGCTATTAAAATGTGTCATTTATAAAGAAAATATCTCATAATAATTAGGAAAGAAAACAGAAAAATTTAATACTATAAATATAAAACGATTTTATATGCAACAAGAGTATTCAATAAATCAATATTAATCATGAA